TACCTGTAACCGTTCTGAAACAACAAAGAGTGAATTAAAAGAGTCCATAAGTTTACACAATCTCGTGACAAATATATTAGATATCGAAAAGATGGTGTATATGGACTCACTGTTATCACATTTATTTGATTGGTTAGTGGTTAGCGGGTCTACGAATGGCAGTTACGGATAACACGGGCAGCGCTCCAGGGGTATCGCGACACTTTTTTGCGCTACTTTTTCATTTCTGCTTTGTGCACAACCAAATTTGGAAATACATAATGAATAAATTTGAAAGTCTATTTTCCGTTTTCATAATTAGGTAAAAAGGGGTTTTTCGATTTTGCGTTACATGGTATCGTGAAGTCCTTGAAAATTCATTATTCAGGTGCTGCTATAATAGTTTTTCGATGTTTGCATCGCAGATTAGCAATTATTTCTACTTAGGTATACACTGATGGTCGACAAATCTTTTATTTTTATATGAAATAGGAAGATTCAGGCATATATCGTCATAAAAATTGTATTGTCGTCAAGGCTACGAAAACTGCGTTACAACTAACGATACCATGGTAAGATTTATCGTTTTTCCTATCTTTATCACAATTTCTGCTGATTTTCACTGTTTTGTTCGACTTTTATGGCAGAAATAGGTTTATAGTGAAAACATAAGGTGTCCTGAGTGTTGTAAATATTATGTATATGCTATAGATGATAATAACACATATTAAGATGTTAATATCACCTTCTACAGTTAGATATATTAGCCACCAGATGATTGTATTGCAGGAAATAAATCATAATCATGCGGTAGAGGTATAATTATGTGGAGATTCTACCAAAGACGAAGCTAAGATAGCATTACTACCTCTTGTGTAGATGTACACAAGTATTTGGCTGTACCAAAGCATGTCATTGAGATATGGTTGTGACTTTTTTCTTTTTTTAAATTCTGAATTCACGGGACGACTACCTCAATTCTCAATAGCCGTGCAATTGTTTTGATGTTGTACCTACATTTCAATAAATATTTTTCAAACAGCTTACTTTTTTACTTACATGGGAAACTGTAGAAGTGTTGAGAATGTGTGTTTGAGTGTCAGTGAACTTTTGAATAAATGCACATTCCTTATAAATAATACATCACGTGTTTCTTCTTTTGCAGATAATTTCAAATAACAATGAATTAGCAATTGCATTGGATATGCAAAACAATCGATGCTTAAGCTTCTGCTCTAGTGTTGTACAATAATACGCTTCACCTTTTAAATAAAATTTTTCAAAAACATGCCGGTCTTTCACTGTATTGCAGATTTATTTTGGTCTGTTGTTGAAAATAAAGGTGAACATAGTAGACCTTTGGGGTTATGTCAATGGATGGAAAATAGGGAGTTCTGTGTGTATTTAGGCGAAAAGTAAACAATTCAGCAGACATTTAGGCGAAAAGTAAACAATTCTGCGGACAGTTAGGCGAAAATTCGGTAATTTGGGGGATATTTAGGCGAAAAGTGAGTAATTTATCGACAAAACGGCGAAAAAGGGGGAAATCCACATTATTTCCTCTGGACAGGCGAAAAATGCGACATTCTGATGTGTTTTCCCTTTCGCTACCAAAGCATTTACCCCTTTATTTTCCCTTTTTGGGTTGTCTGGGGAGCTACAATGTTTTGGCTGCCGGTATTATTGCAAAAATACCTAATATCAGAAATAAGTACTGATATAAAGCTGTTACGAGAAAGCACTGAAAAGTACGATTCGATAGTCAAGATATCTTGATCTAAGGTGACCAGATTGTGTGAGATCCTATGTGATGATCTTCGGAAATCAACCAAGGCCTGTCTAGCTTACGTGCTGATGCCGTAAATGACAATTACTCATAACTTACGTGGGACTAAAACAGAATATGCATCAAGAATTGCAGGTTACACAGGACGATTCAAAGTAAATTCACACAGTAGTTATTATATATGGTCATCGTCTAAGTTTCCGAAGTGCAACCTGTCCAAAGAATTAAATAATACAATCCGTGTATGTTGTGACCCAGACTTTCCTAAGCAACGCAAGAGATAAAGGAAATAAGCGTGATTGACTATCCAAAGGAAGGGTGTGCTAAATGCACTTTCGATCTGTAATTGAATACTGGTTTCCGTTTTTATACTACTTTCTGGTAAACATTTATAATGAAATAACTTTCCTGTCTATCTTATTTCCAGCTAGCTTCGCAAGTGTTCACAGACCTAACGGGAACAATTCCTAAGAAATAAAAGTTATTTATTAATGGATCATTTGTGCTAGATTCAAACTTTAATAAACTTTTTCATTTATAACGCACCAGTCTTTTAATTACGGCAATTCTTATCTATCGTGACAGGTCGAAATCTGAACTACTAGTATGGTACACCATGTTCAAGGTAGCAGTATTTGGTAAACGGTATGTATGACTAATCGCGTGTGCGCCAAACTGGTAATTATTACACAAGAACGCGAAACAACATCCCTGTCTCACAGCCACATAAGACTGCACAGTACACTCCCTGCCGTTACGCTATAAGAATAAGTCAATGGCCATATAAATGAATTTATGTAAAACTAAAAAGATTACAATATTAGAACTTCTTGTTAGCAAGAAGCATAGCTATGGTCTGCATTAACAATGGATTCTGACGTTGTAGCTTCATCATTAGCACCGACTGAACTCATCAACTGTGCACATATGTCTTCCGATGCTTCGAGGCATGAACGGATGAGTTTACTTGCCATAGGTTCACTAAGAGCATGGATTGAGTGGTAGTTGCTAGTGAACTTCTCTAGCAGATCATCACTCCCTGTAGAGATTGAGATGTTGTCCAGCGCACGAAGAACCAGGTCCATTATGTATTTTCTTGTCCACCGGTTGCTATGTCGAAATAAGTCTACAAAACTTATAGAGATAAAGGAACACACATACCTCCGCGAATCAGATCTTTAGAATGTGCATACAAAATATGACCACAGGGCAGCATGTAGTCATTGAAACGCTCACAAGCACATCGTGCACGTGAAGTATCAACAACATACATCATACCCTTGTCGTAGCACCGGATGTATTCTCCTTCTATAAATTCGTGTCTCATTGTCCGAACACGTTTATAATTTACAGCTACAATTTTAGCTGCAAAAGATGTGAACTCATTTAGAAGAGTTCGAAATGACATTGGAACCTGGAATTAATGATACATTTAACTATATTTCTTACCTGAAGAATAGGAAAACGTTGAAGATCCTTCACAGCGTCATAAGGACGCAAACGTACATCAATGTCTGTTTTACTCCAAATTTTCCAGAACGTCAATAATAGGGAATCACCTCTTCTGAGACATTCTTTTAGGTGTTTATGAGCACTTTCAACACGGTTGTTTGTGTGGTTGCCCAGGCTTAATACATGTCGCCGGTAACAGCGAGCCCACATTGACTTCCTAGCAATCCAGTAATCTTTTATGTAATCATACGCCCGTGGAAAATGCGTTCTTAGATGTTCGTACTTTCGAGTAAATCTGAATATAATGCGCTATGAAAAGCGAAGCTCACATATCAGACCGTCTAGTCTTCACAAGCTGTTCCAAGCATTTGCGCACATCAGGATTTCGGAACTACAGAAAATAATTTGTACAGCTAACACATACCTTCCTGAAAAACGCTCTTAGGACATGGAATGAACAAAGTATTGTGTTAGAATGACTGTGCGTAGACTGCACAGCCGAAATTTCGGTCGCTGCCGAATCCATAATGAACGTGCGTGTAGCATAAGTACCGCACATTATCTCTTTAAAACATTCCAATAGTTTTTCTATATCTTCGCGTCGTTCTTGACTGCAAAGAGCATACATAACAGTGTGCCCTTGCCCAAGACTATCAGTGACCACTAGCTGGAACAGTGGAAAGCTTTCAGATAAATTTATTACTAATCGTCACTTACCCGACTTTATTGGTCTGATAAGTCGAATCAATACATATTACTTCCGGGAACGCGTGGTAAACAGCTATTTGCTCTCTGCGGCTGAAGCAAATCATAGACATGTTCCCATTTTCATAGAATACTTTAACTTCAGTATTACCTTGAATGCGCTGTAAAATGTTATTGATATTTTTAGTGTCTAAACTCAATTAATTACAATGTGAGTTCAACAACCTGGGTACAACTGTGAACGCATTCTGGCGATATCGTCCTTGGTAAGTTGTTTATTGAACTTCAAAGAAACCAGATACCGTAAGCTACGAGTTGGTGTATTACTCAGTAGAAACGTTCTTAAATACAAGCGTTCACTTGAGGTCAACTGTCGTTTCGATGGATCGACAGAAATATATCCTTCTGTGCAAGGATGGTTGTGCACGGTTTTAATAGAGGTGAGTTTCAACTCACCATTCAGTGCCCGGACCCAAAATCCTGATTTACAGTGGCAATATTTCGACCTGAAGGATAAATTCATTTGAAGTAAGGCATACGTAGATGACCGACGTCGTCTCCTTTGCCTAGGTTGTGTTGGCGAGTTAGAAGTTGTATGCTCTTCAGAAGAATGATTATTACTATCATCATCTACATCCTGAACGCAAGCATCTGACTCTGACGAACTGCGTTTACGTCCATATGTACAGACATATCGCACGAAAAAGTACTTTAGAGTTGGATCATCACTGTTCTTTTTGCATACTGACATAACGTACTTAGTATGCGTATACTAAGAAAATAATTATTAACCACAGAGGTCATATTACCTTATGTACTTCTTTCAAACAGGTCTCAAAATTGTCCCAACTTGTAAATCTTCGAGATAACATAATATCATTGAAGATTCGTCCTATATCATGCATCATCACGATGGAATCGTCTTCGTTACTTGAAGAATGAACGTTATCAGACATAGTGTGGCTGAACTCAACTCAAATCTAAAAATGTCTTGATTTGACCGCTTCTGAAAATTTTCACGAATTGTCGATGTGACGCACCAATCATTTTGCGACAGTTTGACCTTCAAGTGCTCGCAACCCCCATCAGTGGACGATACCCTAGGAGCGTTGCCGATAACACGACACAGTTGTTTCCCAAGTCCTTCATTTACGTGTCTAGTCTAAATGTCGGAAGTTAAGGTGAGCTATGTTTTATGCATGTAATGTTACTCATTAACCAGTCAATATATTTTCGGTGAGACTAATTTATGGGCGACCTTTGGGCGACGTTAAATAATTAAGATTTACAATTGATGGTTTGGGTTAAAAATTAGATTTAAGGTTTTTATTTCGAAATGACATCAACTAAAACCCCCGAAACACCCTTTGACCAAATAGTTGAACTTTTTGGTTTTTCCCTAATATTTCCACAGTTTCTCCAAAATTTTCCAAACTTTGGAGAAATCTATTTCTGTCCTTCAACTGAACCCCAGCTTTCTTCGCGTTTGGAAGAAATTCTCCACAGTGTCAGTTTTTCACAAGTATCTCCAAACCTCTATTTTGGGGAAGCCGCTATGGAAACTTGGGGGAATAGCACAGAAACCCCAAAATAAGGAGGTTAGGTTTTTCGAAGGTATTTGTGTTTTTCAATAAAACCCATGAGATTTCCCATTTTCCTGGAAGTCATTGATTTAATGAGACGTACCTATAATTCACTATGCAATTATTCATACTTCTTTTTCTTTAGTCAAGTTCGTACGTCTTGGTCCAAACTTAGGTCCCTCTTTATTTAACTCTGCTAAAGGCTTCAGAGCTCTTGTGGGCTATTTGTAAGTCATTTAAGTACTATGACGAAAAAGTGTTCGGGGTATTATGCCCGACTTTTATGAGGTCGCATTCTCTAGCCTATCTTACGAAAATAGTCTGCGACGCTCCAACCTATTCCCACTGTCTTACCACAGGTTACGGGGTGATTTAATGTTCGCTTGTCGTACACTGAGCGATGATCTTGGTAATGTCTTATCGTTTCCTTCCATCTAGGACTGGTCATTTGAGAGGAAATTCTAAGGAAGTTGAAAAGCCGAGATCAAATCGTTTACGTCTTGAGTTCTGTTTCTCGCACCAAGTAGTGAATTACTGGAATTCCCTACTGGAACGCGTAATATCAGCACCTTTTTTTGATACATTTAAAGCGAAATCGGACCCCCACATTGTTACAAATTGCTAGGATTAATATAAGTGTATAAACCTATTGTTGCCATTGGGAACTGAAGATATTAATATGTAGCGTACATACCAGCGTCCGTAGTACTATGTAGTTACATGGTTTAAAATTAAACAGAATAGATATGAAATACACGTGTTTCTTCTGTAGTGTCTAGTTCAGTAACCTATATTTAAGAGAAACATTCAAAAACTGACATGTTTTTGGAGAAGTCCTATTTAATTTGCAGGACCTTTCAATCTCTCAATTTCGGGGGATCTCTAGTAAACAATTTCGGAGAAATGCAACAAAAAACCATAAAATTTCCTCTAATATCAGGAGCTTGTGTCGTTGTACATATGGCGTATCATACACACATTAGACTTATCATATAGTTTCAATATTGGTGACCAATGATAAAATCTTTTATTTCAAGTTAGAAAGCATCGCGTATGTGAGTTTGAGGAAGGTGTTCATACTCTCATTAGCTATACACTTAGTCATTCCAGGACCAAACTCTACATAAAATGTCAAAAATGTAAACCAGAACAACCAAACATAAACTGGATCTTTTATAAGTCAAAAGGTGACAAATGATTTCGATCTTACATAATTTTCGAAATAACAATTTCGCGTGTATGTTACACTTACGGTCATATTGTTTAAATATTCAAGGTAGATATTTATATTTTGGGTGTAATATTCCTGAAAAATTTGCATATTTTATTACATTCCATTTCGGAATGATGACTTATAAAAACACCCTACGAAGTCCAAAAACCAGTGATCCACTTATTTAAACCTGGATATTTGTTTTGAACATTTAGTGCCTGGCACTTTTTGATGCTTTCAAGGAGCAACAGAATTTCTACGTCACTACGTACTGGAAGGATTATTTGCAATCCGCTTATCTGTACTTACTAGTAAGGAATGAGCACCACAAATCAGACCATCTGTTTCTGCGAAAGATATATTGATTTAAGTATCTATCGTCTCAAAGCCCAGCATGACCTCCTCATCTGCTAAGTTTCATAAAACTTCTGCGCAGGAAAAATGTTCCACTTATCCCACTCTTATTAGATTACTGAGTGAAATTTTGAACCATGAGACTAACAAAAGCAGAAAACCAACAGGGAAAAGCATGTTATTAAACTATTTCGTTCTTCAGGCTCTTTCAGCGAAATTGGGTATTACTGGTTAGAAAAAAAGAAAAGGATTTAAGAATATGAAATCTATAGCTGGAGCGGTCTGTGGGCCAAATATCAAATGTGATACAGCCGGGTGTTGTCGTTGACTCACACAGAACTGGCTGAGAACCTAGCATACGAATAAACAGTTCGTTCCTACGTTGTAAGGTTACTGAAATATACCGCGGAAATCATTGATGTAGCAACTGGGCTGTCATCACTATGTCTTTTACACAGTAGCATACTGAAACAGCCTGTCGAACCCTCAATAACACTTAAAAGACCTGGTTTTACTGGGTTTTGTATATAATAAATCTGAGGCATTCATTAGAGATGTAAAATTTCGCATAAACTACGGATGCAAAGTTTTACTTGCTGTTAGTTTTTATGATTCGACTTAACGGTTACTGTTGCCTCAGGCGGGTCACGCGTTTTTATAAGGTTGTTTTCGTCGAGTTCATTTCACGTTAAGGTTGGCATCAAAAGTCCATGTGGCACCATGTGGACTGTTTTACGGTTTGCAACTCCATGCTCTCCTGTTTGTGGGAACACAATACTGGACACTATTTATATCTGAAACTAAGTACTATAACATCTTGTCACAGTCGGCTAAACAGCTGTCTAGTTTTTACAGACGTCTGGTGTCCTTACTTGATTTTTATTCATTTATTTATTTATTTGAACACATAAATATTGGTACAAGAGTGCGCCAAATATATATGCGCCACACGAAACAATGAGAATTTAAAGAGAAGGAAAAATAAAAAAGGTAAGGAGCGTTAAAAAAATGAGAACGATAACGAAGTGATTGGTGTAAGGTAGTGTATTAATAACAATAGTAATAATGGGGGAACGGAAAGGTACAATCAGAAGAAATCTTTCAGTTAAAAAAGATACAACCACTTTTTACGAAGAAAGTAAAAGGAGGTTACAGTAGGATCGCCACTAGCTTCTATTCTGAGCCATTTCTGATAACGTTTCTGACCACTGTGTAGCACCATCTCTCGGACCCCAACCACGGAGTCGTGAAGGACCAACACAAATCAGTCCTTTGCAGCTTTCTTTCATGCCACGACACCATGTCATATGGTGTCAGTATATGACTTGAAAGTGGTTTCAATAAAATCTCGAGACAAATATTTGAACGAATGTAAATTTTGACGAATGTATATGAGGTTGGTTTCTAGTGGATTATATTTTCAAATAAGCAATTGGGTAAACCATATTGAGAAAGGCATATTTATATCTTAGTAAAAATAGTATCATATTCTTCGAAAGGTTGGGAAAGTTATCGGTTGTCGAAATGATATTCTGTGGATTTTTCACTTATATTTTTTACCAGATATATGGTAAGTTTAAAAGATGATTATTGGGTAAACTGTCTCATTTACATGAGTTACAAAACTTTGATATATTTTACGTCTTTATTAAAAATTTTGTGTTTACATATTGCTCTAAAAGCTCATGGTTTGTGTCGATAATAATTATTTGGTTTTAACAGATCTCCACAATTTGTAGATTTATAATTTAATACGATCCACAGTTGTGTTAATTTATTTTCAAATGTTTGATAAAAATTCAGACATACCCTATCTAAAATGCAGTTATTCTTACTGTTGTTTACATATCAGGTTGGAATTATTGGAGGTTCTGGATTCGACGATCCAGATTTATTACAAGAAGCAAAAGTGCGAACAGTAACTACTCCATTCGGAAATCCATCAAGTTTTGTTACTGAAGGTTTTGTTGAAGGCGTCCCGTGTGTTGTGCTTCCCAGGTAATCATCTGTCACAAAAGTGATTTGTCTGTGACACATTCATTTGACTAGATTAAGCGATTGTATTGAATCCATCCCAGATCTGTCCTAGACGTACTCTAGTAGCTGTCATTGGACCAGGAAATAAGGATGAGAAGACCATAAATGTACATGCGTTAATTGTATTAGAACTAGAATAAAACACTTAGCCATGTACAAGTCAATTACGATCACGTACAAATACCAAAATAACTTATTGTTATAATCGATTATCCACTCTTCAAAGTTTTCTAAACTATTTTTCAAAGTGACTAGATGTTGGCCTTATCTAGTTATAGGACATCTTAAGCCGATTTATACCTACCTACATTTCCTACTATCTTTTGACCCGCATATTCATTCGTGTAATATTTTTGTTGCCAGTTTTACGCTTGCCTGGGTTTTAAATCAAAGTAATCGGATGCCTGAGTGACCAACTTCAGGTCGGAAAAACTAGTGTTAGAAATCATGTAAATATTTATCTATAATGTTTACTTATCACTCTAAAAATGCTCGGCATTATTAATAGTACAGAAATATGCCACACAAAACGAAGTGACAGCATCTTAATGTGGAAATGTGGGTTGAAGAATAAAAATAATAGAAATAATAAAGGATGTTAAGTAATTTACACTGCTATCGAAGTACACTTTACAGTTTATAGAAAACATGAAATTAACTACTGATCACCTCTTTTCCCAATCAGTCCTAGTGGCAGCTAGATAGTCCTTTTTATGAAAATTGTCGAGTCACGATGTGTAGAGTTTTATCAAAGTCATCAAGAGTGGTATTTTGAAATATTACATGTTATGTAATGACCTTGACTTTGGAACAACATATATAAGCGAACAATATTGTTTTCGATTACATCCTAATCAGGCCTTACTCTAATCTACAGTAATTTTTATATACATATATGAAATTATTAAACCAATCAAGGCAGTTAGTTGATGTCAGTGATAACAGTCGAATAGATTACATAAATAAACATAATAAGAGAAAAATAACAATTGATATTGTGATGACAGGTGTACTAGTAAATTTTCCATAAATATCGACATTTCATCATATTCGTGTGGCGCATATATATATGGTGCCCTCTTGTACCAATATTTATGTGTTCAAATGAATAAATAAATAAGTACTGGTAAATGAAAATTTTGAATTCACTTTGTATTGATTGTTTGAATCTTCCTATTTATGTTTAGGTCTGCAATTGATCAGTCTCTTATTGGCATATGTGCATCATGTACGGATTGCCTCGATATTGCGTTAATTCACAAGCGTTATAAGCAAAGATGGATGATGAATAGCAATTGAATCCAGGACGCACGTTTCGTCCTATTTATGACTTTTCAGCTGGATTATTATTTTCTATGCTCTGTTCGTTTATATTTCTCCACCCCCTCCCATCTGTTTTTATTAACCCTTCGTTGTCCAATCATCTTATTACGTAATCATTTAATTTTTATTTCAGTTTGTATATATATCGTTAACCTATTTCCCACTATGAAGTATCGATTCAATCCTTTGTTATTCTTATCACAACTAGTACACCTGTCATCACAATATCAATTGTTATTTTTCTCTTATTATGTTTATTTATGTAATCTATTCGACTGTTATCACTGACATCAACTAACTGCCTTGATTGGTTTAATAATTTCATATATGTATATAAAAATTACTGTAGATTAGAGTAAGGCCTGATTAGGATGTAATCGAAAACAATATTGTTCACTTATATATATTGTTTTAATTCACAATATAGGAATTTATCAGATCTTGACTTTGTCCAGAAAGAAGTCACCGAACCTTTACACTAGTTATACGGTATTTTTGTCGAATGTGAACAATCCTGTGAGTACATCAACGGTCAGTGCAAACAGTATTCAGTAAACCTGAAGTATATTGTTGAACGACGTTGAGGTGCTAACCGTTTCGGCCATTTCGGAGATGCCGAAGGTTAATGAATGACTTATTATGCGACGAGTAGGATCAGGATATGCTTTTAGGATTCATGCATTGTAGTTTACGTCAGTTTGTGATGAAAATCTCAACCCTAACACTGAATTGTAATTCGCAACACAAATTCCTAACCTTATTTTTATAATTGTTTCACAACTTACCTCGTTTTTCATTGGTTCGGTTGTATACTGTAAGTTAGCTCATTATTCTAACATCTCCAGCTCGAAAATACCAGGTTTAACAAAGGTTGATCGGAACCACTCGCACTACAACGTTTTGACGCAATACTAATCGTTTAATAGCACCAAAGCTGGCGCACTTTACCATTAATAATTTTGGCTGTTGTTATATGAAACTGATTTTTTTCTCATCTATGACAATTATTCACCGAATCTCTTATCAATCTTGTAGAAGCACTTTACATGAATAAAAATTGCATCCAAACATTAGTTGTGTAACTTAAGTGGCAAATATTTTCATTTCAGTTAGAAAAAATAATATTATAATTCTTTTCGAATCTTCAAAACTGTTAGGTCCAAGTTCTTTCACTACTTTAATTCCCTGTTGCATTTAAGACACTCAATGAGTTTTTGAAGTTTAATGCACGTCTCACAGAAGCGAAAACGAGCTTAGAATTTGCTAATAATTGTATACAAACTACTTTAATTGTTTAACGAAATGGTACACATTGATATTCGTGCACATTTAGTTGTAAATGACTTTGCCGACTGACTATAAAGGTTTAAATTTTTCAGGAAGATTGATGTTAGTAAGGTTAGCCATGTGAATACTTAATGACTTTGATTAGTGTCCAACTAGAGAGCTATTATCATTTGTACTGAATTCGATATGCAAAATGTATGCTGAACTAACCAGTTATTAGATCTCCCTTTTAGTGAACTGTCTGTATACCTGACCATCAAGCGTCAACTGAATATTATCAGTCCAACATAATTCGTGGTCTTTGATCAAGTGGAATCTATTTCCAATACTTGCTAGATATTCGCCACCCAAATCGATGTTTCATTTTTGAATAAGTCCCTATTACATCATATTGTTTTCGATTTATTAAAACTAATTATCCACAACATCATCCCAAACAGTTTTGGAAAGCTAGCTAAATAGTCTAATTCCGAGAAATGTTTGCACAGAAAATTACATCAGAATCTTCAAACGCTGGATGTATAAGTCATTGTGATCATTCATGTATAATTACAAAAATATTTTGAAGCTTAATGCAACAATTATCTATGCTGGATCTTTGGAACTCTCACAAACCTTTAAAAATATTTTCACCTAAACTTACATGTTATTGAAATGAATGTTAGTTCTTAGTGTATAGGTATTTTTTTGCGTGATGAAAGCTAACGACTTCTCTGTTCGATAACACTAATATGGATTATGAATGACTTGATCACTTTTGTCTTGCAGGCATGGAAAGGAACATTTACTTCCGCCAAGTGAGATCAATTATCGGGCCAACATTTGGGCGTTAAAAGAACTTGGGTGTACTCACATATTAGCCACTAACGCTTGTGGTAGTCTTCAGAAAGACAAAAAACCTGGTGATTTCGTTGTTCTTAACCAGTTTTACGATAATACTCGAAATCGAGAGCTTACGTTTTATGGAAGTGGGCCTGGTTCACTGAAAGGAGTCTTACATATGCCGATGGCAGACCCATTTTGTGAAGAAACACGTCAGGTGAGTTTTTGGCTAATTAACTAGAGAGACTCGTTTCGTGTTTCTAGTCAAGGGTTAACGTAATTCACTTGGAGGTGTTAGCTGTTTGGTCTAGAGAGTTTTTATTACTTTGGCATTAAGCTTCACAACTGTACAACCTTGTATGGTTTGTCTTCAGTGGTGCTTTTTGAATGTTTATGTTATAAGATCCTGTCACGTGCTGGTGGTTCTTCTGCTTGGATTGAAAATGTTAAACAACCTTCAAATGTTTTTTAACAGTTGTTAAATCTATCGAAGCGTCTAACCACACGATTGAGATACGCGCGAAATCAAATTTCACAAAACGACGATTTGTCTAGAAAGTGGTTCTCTGTTGAGTGATATACATAAATTAGTTACAAAAATCAACTTGTGAGGTATCTGTGACGCCTGGCGCTTCTGTGAGTTTGAAATGAAAAGGTCTTCCTGCAATAACAATATAAGGAATAATTACAACATACGATAATGCAAACGACAGCAGATAGCTGTATCTGATAACAGTTAATCAACAACCAAGAACAAAACCAAGAGCGAACAATATGGAAACTGTTGAGTTTAAACAAGGGTTAAACGACTATGCAAAGTTGCGAATAACTGCTATAAGAGTTGAAAGAAATTGATTATAGTGATAAATACAATAAATAAGTGTATGTATATATTATGGAATGTTAAACTTGCGCGTTGAAATTGCCAAAAACACAACTTTTTACTGAATATTAATAAGTAGTACGAAACAATACACAAAAGAGGGTTGACGGAAAGTGAATAAGAACAACTTAACAACAGTATATAACAATGAATTCTATTTACCTTTAACAAACAACAACAATGTTAGTCACAGGATATTCTCATATTTCTGGGAGATATATAGGTTTCCTGGAGTGGTAGAGAAGATTTGTAGCTCAGGTGGATGATTTTGATGGAGTTTTGTTCTTTGATGGTGGAGCTCTCATCGTTATTCTGAACGACATCATCAGCACAAGCTCCAAGTAGACTTCTGACAAACCATCCAACTCAAAGAGCAAAATTCCATAAAGTTTTCTGGACTATTTGTGTCTTTTTAGTAACCGGAGATTTTATGAAATCGCACCTCACTTAACTCCGCCTGGAGTCCCTCCGGGGGCTACTGCCGGTCCCAAGCCCGGATAAAGGAGGAGGGTTGGGCATGGGGTTAGCGTCCCCATCCCGTAGAAAACTAACTCGCTAAAAAAACGCTAACCAGAAAAAATTATTCAAACCTTTTAAACTCTGCCCTGGGAGTCAGAAGGTCTTCATTTAGAAGAATTATGACGCCTCATGATGAAAGCCGAATTCCTTCGGAAGTTACGAGGCCGATGCCCCTTCTGACAACCAGAGCGACCATTTATTTAGGTACATGGAATGTTCGTACAATGTGGGACACCGGAAGAGCCTTCCAAATTGCTGCAGAAATGAGAAGATACAACCTAGAGGTACTTGGGATCAGTGAAACACATTGGACACAAGTTGGACAACAACGACTAACTACAGGAGAGCTCCTGTTATACTCCGGCCATGAAGAAGAAAATGCACCACATACACAAGGAGTTGCATTGATGCTGTCCAAACAAGCGCAAAATGCACTTATAGGATGGGAATCTCATGGACCAAGGATCATCAAAGCCTCGTTCAAAACAAAGAAAGAGGGCATTTCAATGAACATCATCCAATGCTATGCGCCTACCAACGACTACAATGAAGACGCTAAAGATCAATTCTACAATAGGCTGCAGTCAATCGTCGAGAAGTGCCCAACAAAGGACCTGACCATTCTGATGGGAGATTTCAACGCCAAGGTTGGAACGGACAACACTGGATATGAAGACATCATGGGACGACACGGACTGGGAGAAAGAAACGAAAATGGTGAGAGATTTGCAAATCTATGTGCCTTCAATAAGCTGGTCATAGGCGGCACCATATTCCCACATAAACGCATACACAAAACCACATGGACTTCACCGGATCACACTACACAAAACCAAATCGACCATATTTGCATCAACAAAACGTTCAGGAGGACTATAGAGGACGTGAGAACCAAGAGAGGAGCTGATATAGCATCAGATCATCACTTGCTGGTCGCCAAGATGAAATTGAAACTCAAGAAGCACTGGACAACGGGGCGGACAATATCACAAAAGTTCAATACGGCCTTTCTTCAGGATACTAACAAACTCAACAAATTCAAGATAGTCCTCAGCAACAAGTTCCAGGCCTTTCATGATCTACTCAATGGAGAAGGAACTACTGTGGAGAGCAACTGGAAGGGGATCAAAGAGGCAATCACTTCAACATGTCATGAGGTCCTGGGTCACAAGAAGCACCACCACAAGGAATGGATCACTGTTGATACACTGGATAAGATTCAAGAAAGAAGGAACAAGAAGGCAGCAATCAATACCAGCCGAACAAGAGCAGAAAAAGCCAAGGCACAAGCTGAATACACGGAAATAAACAAACAAGTGAAGAGGAGCATCAGAACCGACAAACGTAAATATGTGGAAGATTTAGCAACGACGGCGGAAAAGGCTGCAAGAGAAGGAAACATGAGACAACTGTATGACACGACAAAGAAACTCTCTGGAAATCGCCGCAAACCAGAACGACCAGTGAAAAGCAAGGAAGGCAAGGTAATCACCAACATTGAAGAGCAACAAAACAGGTGGGTAGAACACTTCAAAGAACTCTTGAATCGACCAGCTCCACTGAACCCACCCAACATCGAAGCAGCACCCACGGACCTCCCAATCAATGTTGGCCCACCAACAATTGAAGAAATCAGCATGGCCATCAGACAAATCAAGAGTGGCAAAGCAGCAGGACCGGACAACATCCCAGCAGAGGCACTAAAAGCAGACGTAGCGGCAACTGCAAGGATACTCCACATTCTCTTCAATAAGATTTGGGATGAGGAACAAGTACCAACAGACTGGAAAGAAGGACTTCTGATCAAAATACCGAAGAAAGGCGATCTCAGCAAGTGTGATAACTACAGGGGCATCACTCTTCTCTCAATACCGGGAAAAGTCTTCAACAGGGTATTGTTAAACAGGATGAAGGACTGCGTAGACGCCCAACTTCGTGACCAACAGGCAGGATTCCGTAAGGATAGATCGTGTACAGACCAAATCGCAACTCTACGGATCATTGTGGAACAATCAATTGAATGGAATTCATCACTCTACATCAACTTCATTGACTACGAAAAGGCATTTGATAGCGTGGACAGAACAACACTATGGAAACTTCTTCGACACTACGGCGTGCCTCAGAAGATAGTCAATATCATACAGAACTCATATGATGGATTACACTGCAAAATCGTGCATGGAGGACAGTTGACAAAGTCGTTCGAAGTGAAGACCGGTGTTAGGCAAGGTTGCTTACTCTCACCCTTTCTCTTTCTCCTGGTGATCGACTGGATCATGAAGACGTCAACGTCTGAAGGGAAGCGCGGGATACAATGGACATCTAAGATGCAGTTGGATGATCTAGACTTCGCAGACGATCTGGCCCTTCTATCCCAAACGCAACAACAGATGCAGGAGAAGACGAACAGTGTGGCAGCAGCCTCAGCAGCAGTAGGTCTCAATATACACAAAGGGAAAAGCAGGATTCTCCGATACAACACAGAATGCACCAATCCAATCACAATTGACGGAGAAGATTTGGAAGATGTAAAAACCTTTACGTATTTGGGCAGCATCATTGATGAACAGGGTGGATCTGATGCAGATGTGAAGGCGCGGATCGGCAAAGCAAGAGCAGCATATTTACAACTGAGGAACATCTGGAACTCAAAGCAACTGTCAACCAACACCAAGGTCAGGATTTTCAATACAAATGTCAAGACAGTTCTACTGTATGGGGCAGAAACCTGGAGAACTACAAAAGCCATCATCCAGAAAATACAGGTGTTTATTAACAATTGTCTACGCAAAATACTTCAGATCCATTGGCCGGACACTATTAGCAACAACGTACTGTGGGAGAGAACAAACCAGATCCCAGCGGAGGAAGAAATCAGGAAGAAGCGCTGGAAGTGGATAGGACACACATTGAGGAAAGCACCCAACTGCGTCACAAGACAAGCCCTCACATGGAATCCTGAAGGTCAAAGGAAAAGAGGAAGACCAAAGAACACATTACGCCGAGAAATGGAAATAGACATGAGAAAAATGAACAAGAATTGGATGGAACTAGAAAAGAAGGCCCAGGACAGAGTGGGTTGGAGAATGCTGGTCAGCGGCCTATGCTCCATTGGGAGTAACAGGCGTAAGTAAGTAAGTAACCTCACTTAACTTTCCAGGGGTTACTGTCCTACTACTTATGGACTTAAAATAGACAGGTGATACAGTTCTATTTGGTAAAGACGTTGACAAAATTCAAAATCTATTGATCACCTTGGGAAAAACATAAGCATGTTCGTGATGAGTTTCTATCCTTCGGAATTCTAAGTGTTGCTTCTTGACTAGTTTGCGTCAACACTTAATACAATGGTAAGGATTGTAGTAGTTGAGTACATTGACTACTCAACTCACCTTGGGAATTTCATCAGCCTTTGTGGTTTAGTGTCTGAGGAAATCTCAGCACGGATTCGAATAGTTCAGTTGACCTTTGCCAACGTGAGTCACTTGTGGTATAGGTGAAATGTCCGTCTGCTAACCATAGCGCGTTTATACTGTACAACAATTTCCTCTGTATTTTGAGGCTGTAAATAATGATCAAAGACATGCGTAGACAACTAGTTTCTGATCATAGGTATTTTCATAGCATTACTCACATATCACAGAAAGACTGAATGAGTTCTGAAGTTAAACATAGCGTACTACTTTAACGTACAATGTTAAATGATGTAGGAGTAATATGGAACGAAACTATGGGTCGCCAACCCAAGACGTGTCATTAGTCCATAAAATCTTTGAATTTCGATCTGAGGTATGGCGGTAAGTCCATACTATCCGTCAAAGTTCTCTCATTAACCCGTTCGCAATATTGCAAACGCATTTATTCTATCTTTCTCTAATCTTCAGTTTCAATATTCCTCCAAACATACCCTTGCATTCCGTCTAACTGAAGCGTATTTTCATGGTTTGGTCGTACTTCGTTTTATTTCGTAGTTAATAATTCTAAGCAGACATAATAATTAGTCAGTGTTGGGGACGATAGATCCTCAAACTCATATTTTAAATTTTATCGCATCGATCAACTTATTGATTAAATGTTTAAATATTTGTATTGGGGTCAATTGATAAACTGATCGATTAAATGTTTGAATAGCAGTCAGTTGATGAATCTATCAGTTAGATGTGCAAATAGGTCGATAGATGAACTATCGATTCAATGTGCAAATAGGTCAATTTATGAACTCGTTGATTAGTGTTTAAAAATTTTCTATGACAATATCGATTATATATATATATATATATATATATATATATATATATATATATATATGTTTTAAATTGTGCTCGCTTGCTTTCTTGCTTGTTCGCTCGCTTCTGGCTGTTGCAGAATATATTTTCCATACCAAGCCTGGACTTCTTCTTCTAGATAGCGGGGCTGGGACGCGTCAATAGTTAGATCACTGGTCTTTGGTCACTGAGTATTGTTCTCGTTCGCAGTTTAAGTGAACTCGTGAGCTTTCAAACATAACAGTCAGTCAGTATCTAGTCTCCATTATGCAGTTGATTAAATCATGAAACTGCAAATGGAATGTTTGAATTTACTTGATAGTTCAACTCCAACTTCTTTGTATACTTCATTTTTTCAGGTTCTAATCAAAGCAGCTAAAAATCTATCATTGACTATTCGTGATAAAACGTGTAGTTCGGATACAATTAGCAATCATCCGTGTGTACATACTGAAGGTTCTGTAATTACGATTAATGGTCCACGTTTCTCAACTCGTTGCGAATCATTGTTATTCCAAAAATGGGGTTTCGATTTGATCAATATGACATTAGTTCCTGAAGTTTCTTTAGCTCGTGAAGTTGGCTTAAGTTATGCTTCTATAGCAATTGTTACAGATTTTGATTGTTGGAAAGCAGATGAGGAACACGTGAGGAAGTTAATATTTACTGGTTACTTTTGTATATTATTTTATAGATACATACATAAGGATGTCCAATAATTTTGTTATATTCTCAGTATGGGGTTGTGGATTTCAATAAAATTGTGATTTTATTCGTCTTTAAATTTGAGGATATTCATGCATTCTTAAAAATTGTATTTCTAGGAAGTACTAAACTAAAGTATAATCATTATTAGTTGTTATTTAGTATACCGGGCTGGTTCATAATCGATAGGAAAAAATCTAGGAATTTCTGTGACTTAGTAATTAAAGCACTCAGTTTTTTCAACCAGTTGATTTCAGATTCGAATCTAAGTCCACTTCTGTTTTGTCAGTTAGGTAGTATTACTATTCCTTCCACAAATTAGTGTGACTCAAATCCGAGTATGTAACCCTTTACTTAATATACGCGGCACATTATAATTCTTATTGTTGACTAATCAACCAAATACCAATCTTTTCACTAAATAGATGGATAATTAGTTGGTAGTGGAGTTTAATTTCTGATAGAAATTGGATGACATAATTAGCTGGTTTCTTTTTGACTGGAATCATTGTCATTCATGTTTCTTGTTTGATTGATGGATAATAATTTATGCACAGAATTAGACTACAACTGTGGGAATATTAACTGAACCTGTTATAACAACGCCTTTTATTCGTTCCATGTTGCAGATCGTCTGAATAATCAAATGATGTTTTATGACAGACATATTGTCATATTGCATTGCACTAATGAAACTTTGAACAGCTAAAAGCTGAATAATTATTACAGGTAGTTGAATACCTAGGATCTGATTTCTAGTTTATTTCACTGAATAGAATAAAGTTATTACTTTTAGTAAATAATATTTTCCCAAGGGTAACATTGGATACAGTCTGTTATGCAATGGATAATTAAGCAAGACTAGGGAAGAAAATTATCCGGCACTCAAATAATTCATATTCACTGATGGATGACCTTAATTTCCGACCAGCATAAACCTCTATAACCATCTAAAGGCTAGTTTTACTGAATATGAGACATAAATCCTTTCTCGGTTTAAATATATATTATTAACTTTCCACAGAATGTTCAATTTATTTGACAGTTCATCATTTGTCTGTGGGTTGTGATACTGCCCGGGTGCCCAGACTGAAGCAGGTGGTTTTCTTAGGGGGCCCCACCCCGAGCCTTTGACCTGAAAGTCTAAACCACAAGGCAGTGCAGCATCGTAAGGAGATGCAGTCCCATGGTAGCCCGTGACCGAAAATTGGTTCATATCCCATTTGTTCCCGCAGGATACTGGGGCCCATGTGCACCATTGATTTGGTTTGTCATCCGGTTAAAGCGCCGGACATTCGCTTTTCGTAAACAACACCCCCCTCCACAAGAAGGCAGTGAGTAGGAATTCCCTGGCACAGGCTGTATACGCGTGGCCGTGTGAGAGTATATCACGAGGGAGGGCGAACCCACCCCGCTCTCGGCCATACCAGGGCATCCGAGGGCCAACTCTCTATATTTATGGAAACTACTTTTCTTGCTTCGACTAACAATCAAATGATTAAAATTGTTATTATTATTATTGGGTGGGGCCCCCTAAGAAAACCACCTGCTTCGATCTGGGCACCCGGACAGTATCACAGCCAACACAAAAATGATGAATTCTCCACATCTATGGAAACTAGTTTTCTCGCTTCGAATAACAATCAAATGATTCAAATTATTACCATCACTATAATTGTTATTAGTATTATTATTATTATTATTATTATTATTATTATTATTATTATTATTATTATTATTATTATTTACTACGTCATTATTCACCCTCTTTTATTCCTACTCTGTCTATACTTGTTTTTTCGACTTATACAGCAGCTCGTTTATGGTGGAAATTTGACTCTATCTAAACGTTCTCGAGTCACTGTCCGGTTGAAAATTGTATGTTACCACCGAATATGAGTAGTGAAGCAGTTTTTCTGAAACCACGTGCACTATTCAAACTGGTTGCCTTCAACATTCGCACAGTTATGCAGGTTGGACAACAGATAGGGCTGGCTATGTCTTTAGAAAGTCTTAATATCGATGTCTGCTGTCTATCCGAGACCCGTATTCAAGACTCTGGTGAAGTACTACAAATTCGCTCTCCATCTGTCGCTTTAAAAAGCTTGTTTTACGTGCGCTTATCCGGGGACCCTGTGGCATCTTCGTCTGGTCTTGCTGGCGTTGGTGTCGCACTAAGCGCTAGAGCTGAGGCAGCACTAATCGATTGGATCCCCATTAACAGTCGGTTATGTGCTGTTAGATTAGAGAGTTCCATCAAAGTGAGAAGGAATCGGCGTGAGAAACGGTGTCTTTTCGTCATCTCCGCCTATGCCCCGACAGATTGCAGCCCGGATGCAATCAAGGATGAGTTTTACCACCAGTTATCTGTTCTTCTCCAGAAAGTGCGTTCGACAGATATTGTAGTACTAGCCGGAGACTTGAATGCTCAGGTTGGGCGTCTAGGCACAGAAGAGAGTCGTCTAGTTGGTCGATGGGGACTTGTTGGTCGCAGGACAGATAACGGGGACCGTCTGCTGCAACGGTGCACAGGCCACAACCTGTTTCTGGTTAGCACTAACTTTCGGCACAGTCATCGCCGATATGCCACCTGGCGTCCTCCCTCTGCACCTCAAGCCTGGACTCAGATGCCAATCAGTAACATCCATCGACGTCTTGGACGATGGACAGAATTTTCCGAAGGGCAGTTCAACTGGCCTGCTGCTCCGGCAACATCGGTCAGACTGTCCTGCCCTCCATGGCCGGTGACGACTGATCCACCAAATGAGGCGGAAGTCCGCAAGGAACTCCAACTCTTGAAGCGCTGCAAATCATCTGGCCCAGATGACTTACCTCCGGCCCTTTTTAAAGATGGTGTTGACTTTCTGACTAAGTAACTGACGACGTTGTTTACAAAGGCTTGGGAGCTAGAGAGTGTAACAACGTCATGGAATGAGTCAATAGTTGTCCCTATCTTTGAAAAGGGTTCACGTCGTTCCTGTAACAACTATCGGGTGATAAGTCTACTTCCGATTGCGTCCAAGCTATTGGCTTCCGTCATACTTCGTAGGTTGTTCAAAACCCGAGAAAGATTGACTCGCGAGGAGCAGGCTGGGTTTCGTTCTGGTTGAGGATGTATTGACTATATCTTCACCCTCCGCCAAATGTTAGAACACCGCCATACTTATCAAAGGCCAACAATCGTAGTGTTTCTTGGCATTAGGGCTGCCTTCGATTCGTTGGATAGGACTGTTCTCTGGGATTGTCTATTGAAGAAGGGTGTGTCTGAGAAGTTTATTAACATCCTAAAAGCCCTATATACAAACACCTCAGGCAGAGTGAGGGCATACAACCACCTTTCTTCATTTTTCCATTCGAGCAGTGGGGTTAGACAGGGTTGCCCAATCTCACCATTCAACTTTGCCATCGACGACATTCTGGAAACAGCTCTGATGGATGTAAGTAATGGCGGTGTAGGTCTGTTGCCTGGAGAAAGACTTCTCGACCTTGAGTATGCGGATGATATTGTCTTGCTGTGCGATAATGCCCAAGGCATGCAATCCGCACTTAATCAGTTGGCAAACAGTGTCCGTAGGTACGGTGTGTGCTTTGCACCTTCGAAGTGCAAAGTACTTCTACAAGACTGGCAGAATTCTAATCCTGTACTCACCCTGGATGGTGAGCAGATAGAAGTAGTCGAGAAGTTCGTGTATCTAGGTAGCTGCATAAGTGCTGGTGGTGGCGTGCGTGATGAGATCGATTCACGTATAGTGAAAGCCAGAGCGGCTTATGCCAATCTGGGCCATCTTTGGCGCCTTCGTGATGTTAGTCTGGCTGTAAAAGGTTGGATCTACAACGCGTCGGTGAGAGCAGTTTTGCTCTATGCTTGTGAAACCTGGCCTCTCCGAGTTGAGGACGTTAGACGACTCTCTGTGTTTGATCATCGCTGTCTCCGAAGGATTGCTGACATCCAGTGGCAACACCATGTTAGTAATACAGAGGTTCAGCATTGTGTGTTTGGGCACAGAGACGATAATGCATTCGGTGTCACCATCTTGAAACACCGACTCCGGTGGCTTGATCATGTTCTACGGATGCCGTCCCAGAGAATTCCACGTTGTGCATTATTTGCCGACACCGGGATTGGTTGGAAAAAGCGGAGAGGTGGTCAGTGTATGACATGGTGTCGTGGCATGAAAGAAAGCTGCAAAGGACTGATTTGTGTTGGTCCTTCACGACTCCCTGGTTGGTGTCCGAGAGATGGTGCTACACAGTGGTCAGAAATGGCTCAGAATAGAAGCTAGTGGCGATCCTACTGTAACCTCCTTTTACTTTCTTCGTAAAAAGTGGTTGTATCTTCCTTAACTGAAAGATTTCTTCTGATTGTACCTTTCCGTTCCCCCATTATTACTATTGTTATTAATACACTACCTTACACCAATCTCTTCGTTATCGTTCTCATTTTTTTAACGCTCCTTACCTTTTTTATTTTTCCTTCTCTTTAAATTCTCATTGTTTCGTGTGGCGCATATATATTTGGCGCACTCTTGTACCAATATTTACGTGTTCAAATATATAAATAAATAATACAATTTATTTGAAACTATCAAGTCCAACCTTGGCATTGATACCAACAAACTCATTTTTGTTGTATTATTTTGTTTTTACCAGGTCTGTATTGACATGGTCTTGGAACAGTTTAATAAAAGTGTTGGTCAAGTTAGAAAAACTCTTATTAGAAGCTGTGAGATTGATTGGTGCTCGTGACTGGACAAAAACTATTGAAGCAAATGAGGTACTTTGTTTTTCTCTTACAGACTTATCTTTTTTGTGTCACTTGATTAGATATTAGTGGCGTTTCATTTTATATAGCAATGTTAAGTAATTTACTTGATTTTGTTTGTCTAAAAATTCTGAAAAGTATGTTTTGAACTATTCAATATTACCATATAAGATTCAGTCAATATCATCTGCCAGACATGAACGCAATGCATACTGACAGACTTTGAACACTTGGTGCCTGTTAAATATACAAAGGCTATAACTAAACGTAAAGTGTATTTGCATAAATAAAAACTATGTACTGTGTTCCAGAAAAAGGCACAAAGAAAGTCATTGCTAAACCCAAAAACGCCGTCAACAGAAAGTGTATTCTAAAAGATTCAAGCCACAAACAGCTAAAGTAACAGTAGCTCTTCACGAAGCCGGCTCCCATAACCGTAGAAAGCATGTTTCTCTCAAGATTAGTGGGTACTATCCCCGCTTACGGTTAGACACAGCCTCCGATATAACACTTATAAGCAGGAGAACGTGGGAGAAAATTGAGAAACCGAGAATATATTCAACTCATCAATCAGCGCAGTGTGCATCTGGGGAGATTCTAAACATCCCTGGTGAGATTCATTGTGAAATCACAGTCAAAGAGTTTACGGAGAAGGGTGTAATTTTTCAAACAAACTGTCCATCACTCGACTTATTGGGGCTTGGTTGGATAGAAAGGTTGAAGTTAACAGACCGCCCCATAAACTCGATCTGCAACAACATCGGTACGTCAAAAGTTGGGAAAGACACATTCAAAAGAGCACTACTGAAAGGGGAAGGAGAGGGGACAAGTCAGGTAATTAAGAAATTCTTAACAGCTTATAAAACCAAGCCTAACCCTTTCGTCCCAGATAGGAAATCCTCTGCTGAAGCGATGTTTGACGTCATGTTACCACCTAAACCAATGGATGGATGCAGACAAAACCAGAATATCCGGAGTTCTAACGTCGGTGATAAAGTGCTCGTCAAGTCAAACATTGGGAAAAATCGTTGGGAACCGGGAGTCGTTGAGAAGAGAATGGGAAATGTTCTATACAAAGTGCTTGGGACTTTCGGAGTGTGGATTAGACACATTAATTAAATACACAGAGAGAAAAGGACTCTAGACACGGTAGATAGTCAAGTGAGGCTTCCGTTAGATATAAGTACAGATACTCCAATGACAGGAATCTTAACATACGCTCATAGACGCTGGATACTAAGAAAGTCCGGACGCCGCAGAAAATCAGTTATCAAGCTGCAAGTAGACCCGAAGAAGAGGTCTTATTTTTGGAAGGGGAGGAGGTGTTGGGTTGATCCAGAGAACTTTTTGCCAAAGACAAGGAAGGATCAGGAAAACACAAAGAAGCATTTTATCCAATCAGCGTTCACTTGTAGTTTAGCCAGAAACATCAATAAAGTGAAAAGTCACGTGTAGAGTTCCTGATTGGATGATTACTATACTGCTACTATGTTTAGTAGTAGCATTCCAGAATCTTCGGGAAACTCAAGGACATCTAAAATTCTATAAAAACCCTATGTTTTCTGTACTAGAACGAACCTTTGGGGTAAAGTGCTTCTCGCATATTTTGCACCTTTTCTCTCGTGCTCAGGTCGCTGTGTAGTTCTAGCTTGGGGGTTACAAGAATAGCTTAGGAACCGAATATAGCGTTCAATCAGCATGACTTATCAGTTGGATAGTCAACCTTTGTCAACACACAGTTATATAAATTTGAAAGTGTAAGATACAGTTTGAGAATATGTCGGATAAGGTGTTATCTATTTTAATTGTTGTTATTTTCTCATTTAAACTTGTACTAACTATCTGTTATTGGGGGTCGATAAACAGATATTATGTTTCACGTACGTGATATTGTTATGAAATTACTCTTTTTTGAAGTAGAAGTCATTTGTAGTCATTCTATCATGGTACATGTTCACGTACCCGGTTTTGAATCCTAGTAACACCGGTTATTTGAAAGTTTGAGTGTGCTGCATTGGCTTATTAATTAAGGCGATCATCTTCCAGTCAATGGATCTCAAATCTTGACGTCACTGAATCTTGTTTAGTTTGACCAACTGGATTGTGTCACTAGGTCTGGTGTAAATGATGTGGCTCATAGTAGTAATATTACTAATTGCATCGATAAATTTTCAAAACAGAATTGAAAATTGAGTTAGCTTAGTATGATTTAAAGAATGAATTTCAACTTATCAAGTTAAATTTAATGTACTGTTATTGCTTGATAAATTGGAGAGGAGTTCAATCATTAATGAGCCGTATGATTTGTTTTCTAATTGAATCTTTTTATCTAAAAGCTTTACACTTTAATTCTTGTTTTACAGGCGCTAGTGTTGAGCTCACGTCAAGACTTACTTCATCAAGAAAGTAAGGGCAAATAAATATGGGGTTAATTGGAATTTACTGTCTGTGTATTCAGTTACATGAATAAACAAAGTTCAGTCTACTCTTTTTCAATTGAAGAATTCAAAGGACGCTCTTTATATTTGTCTCCCTTTTGTTTCGAATTAATTTATTTAGCCAATAACAATTCTAAAATTTTTCATGAAAAGTACTTTAAAATTTTAGTCATTTGTTCTGTGACCTAATAATAATATTTAATTAAAAAATAAAATTAGTAAACACTTTTATTGCTTAGAATCTCGGATAGTGCGAATATTTATAATTGGACTCAGTCAATTAGTTCGTCAGTCATTCATTCATAAACAATGTAGAATCTGTAGTTCATCAGTCCACGACGTCCCATAATCTAGGTTTACGATTTAGAGATACATACATAGTGTAATACCTTAAGGAAATATGTAACAACGAAAATCCAGACGACTTTAAATCATAATACCAGGATTAGTGAGAAAACAAAAATGTAGTGTATAGAAATAAGGAAATATATTGATAAGTAAATGTATGGGTTACATTAAGATCGATTTTGAACCCTATCACATAAAGTTTCCAGGCTTTCGTGATGATTGTAATTCTCAAATAAAAAGCACGCATTTTCCTACATAGCTCGAATCAGTAGGTGTTCATTTCTAGCGTATTCTGACCTAATCACATGCTTTTATTATGTCCGTATGTTAATCAGCGTCACGCTTCAAAATAGGTTGGGGTTGAAAATTTGTTGCAGGTCTTCTAACTATCCTATATGATTAGAGTTTGGAATTTCACTGGCAGATTTGTTAATTTTATCCAGCATTCAATATATAGAATAATTGTTTGTCGGTCTTTCGTCCAACAACACTCGAAGGATGTTTAGAAAAATATTCCTACTTCACGTAAGTGCTACCCTGTTACCTATCGTTCAATAGTATTAGTTGTCTGGAAAGAGTTATATTTGATTATCATCGTCTTACTATGTATACAAAATACTGATAATTTGCAGATTAGTTATCTTTTTTATAACGAATAGCTTGTATGGATTTATATTCAAGGTGACCGTGGTCAATACGACTGAAAACGTACTCATCTGTATGCTGTTTCTGGTGACATTTCCCCACTCAAAACATTAAAGAACTTGAAACAGCGGATTTTTTCTCATTTTGCGGTTTGTAATTTCAGTTCCCAGATTCAGAAGACGTAAGCAAAGATTTTTCCTATATCAATATTTAAAGAAAACCTATGGCAAATGGGAATTATTTTTACATAAGAAGGTAAAATGAAAGTTCACATAGACTTATTTTGCTTGGTGCCCAGAAAAATGTAGGTGCGCAACAGTGATCTTTGGCTTAACAGTAGGTGGTTGCCGGACAGATTTTCATAAAAATTTGCAACACAATCGTGACTGTGATCCTCTAGGACAAAAAATCGGATACATAAGCTGATGCCGAGTTAGTAATATCTAAACCAGTTAATTTTCCAAACGCTTACATTGTCACTTACTTGTTTCTTCTCTTTGTCGTGTATCGAAAGCTTCATTTAGGTATCTTTTAGCCTCACACTATGTTCTACAGTCTTCCTCGTCTAAGCTTTTGTTATGTGACTATAGTTAAAGACTTACCTTTTTTTACTTAATTTTTTTGTTGCCGGACTATTGACAGTAAGGTCGTGTTTGAATAATTCAAAGATCATGGTGTGGTTTGGTGTATGACTGTTCACCTTTGACTATCAGCTTGGAAAGAATGCTGTAGTCCCTGCAACTAGATATCTGATGTCATCTTGTTGGGAATACTCTTATTGATTCCCAGGTATCGGACTCCTGTTTGTTAACTATCAGTTTTGTTGTTTAGCACGCTAGTTTGTGTTAGAGAAACCATTGACTGTGTAGTACAGACTATACCGTTTGAGGTTTTTTGTATTTTGAACATAATTTGTTCTATTAAATTAGAAATACTTATATTGGACACAGAGTTTGTGTTTTGGTGTAATTTAATACAAGTACCTCAGAAACGCCTTGTACAGTATATATAAGAAAGTAGTTTGATCTAACCGGATAATGTTTGTTTCTTTCGCTTTGAGTTCAGACCAAAAACTGAGGTTAGGGTCGTTACAACCCCAGACCAACTATTTAGCTTCTATAGGTGACGATTATTTATTTATTTATTTGAACACATAAATATTGGTACAAGAGTGCGCCAAATATATATGCGCCACACAAAAAAGATAAGTCTGTAAGAGAAAAACAAAGTACCTCATTTGCTTCAATAGTTTTTGTCCAGTCACGAGCACCAATCAATCTCACAGCTTCTAATAAGAGTTTTCTAACTTGACCAACACTTTTATTAAACTGTTCCAAGACCATGTCAATACAGACCTGGTAAAAACAAAATAATACAACAAAAATGAGTTTGTTGGTATCAATGCCAAGGTTGGACTTGATAGTTTCAAATAAATTGTATTATTTATTTATATATTTGAACACGTAAATATTGGTACAAGAGTGCGCCAAATATATATGCGCCACACGAAACAATGAGAATTTAAAGAGAAGGAAAAATAAAAAAGGTAAGGAGCGTTAAAAAAATGAGAACGATAACGAAGAGATTGGTGTAAGGTAGTGTATTAATAACAATAGTAATAATGGGGGAACGGAAAGGTACAATCAGAAGAAATCTTTCAGTTAAGGAAGATACAACCACTTTTTACGAAGAAAGTAAAAGGAGGTTACAGTAGGATCGCCACTAGCTTCTATTCTGAGCCATTTCTGACCACTGTGTAGCACCATCTCTCGGACACCAACCAGGGAGTCGTGAAGGACCAACACAAATCAGTCCTTTGCAGCTTTCTTTCATGCCACGACACCATGTCATACACTGACCACCTCTCCGCTTTTTCCAACCAATCCCGGTGTCGGCAAATAATGCACAACGTGGAATTCTCTGGGACGGCATCCGTAGAACATGATCAAGCCACCGGAGTCGGTGTTTCAAGATGGTGACACCGAATGCATTATCGTCTCTGTGCCCAAACACACAATGCTGAACCTCTGTATTACTAACATGGTGTTGCCACTGGATGTCAGCAATCCTTCGGAGACAGCGATGATCAAACACAGAGAGTCGTCTAACGTCCTCAACTCGGAGAGGCCAGGTTTCACAAGCATAGAGCAAAACTGCTCTCACCGACGCGTTGTAGATCCAACCCTTTTCAAAGATAGGGACAACTTTTGACTCATTCCATGACGTTGTTACACTCTCTAGCTCCCAAGCCTTTGTAAACAACGTCGTCAGTTACTTAGTCAGAAAGTCAACACCATCTTTAAAAAGGGCCGGAGGTAAGTCATCTGGGCCAGATGATTTGCAGCGCTTCAAGAGTTGGAGTTCCTTGCGGACTTCCGCCTCATTTGGTGGATCAGTCGTCACCGGCCATGGAGGGCAGGACAGTCTGACCGATGTTGCCGGAGCAGCAGGCCAGTTGAACTGCCCTTCGGAAAATTCTGTCCATCGTCCAAGACGTCGATGGATGTTATTGATTGGCATCTGAGTCCAGGCTTGAGGTGCAGAGGGAGGACGCCAGGTGGCATATCGGCGATGACTGTGCCGAAAGTTAGTGCTAACCAGAAACAGGTTGTGGCCTGTGCACCGTTGCAGCAGACGGTCCCCGTTATCTGTCCTGCGACCAACAAGTCCCCATCGACCAACTAGACGACTCTCTTCTGTGCCTAGACGCCCAACCTGAGCATTCAAGTCTCCGGCTAGTACTACAATATCTGTCGAACGCACTTTCTGGAGAAGAACAGATAACTGGTGGTAAAACTCATCCTTGATTGCATCCGGGCTGCAATCTGTCGGGGCATAGGCGGAGATGACGAAAAGACACCGTTTCTCACGCCGATTCCTTCTCACTTTGATGGAACTCTCTAATCTAACAGCACATAACCGACTGTTAATGGGGATCCAATCGATTAGTGCTGCCTCAGCTCTAGCGCTTAGTGCGACACCAACGCCAGCAAGACCAGACGAAGATGCCACAGGGTCCCCGGATAAGCGCACGTAAAACAAGCTTTTTAAAGCGACAGATGGAGAGCGAATTTGTAGTACTTCACCAGAGTCTTGAATACGGGTCTCGGATAGACAGCAGACATCGATATTAAGACTTTCTAAAGACATAGCCAGCCCTATCTGTTGTCCAACCTGCATAACTGTGCGAATGTTGAAGGCAACCAGTTTGAATAGTGCACGTGGTTTCAGAAAAACTGCTTCACTACTCATATTCGGTGGTAACATACAATTTTCAACCGGACAGTGACTCGAGAACGTTTAGATAGAGTCAAATTTCCACCATAAACGAGCTGCTGTATAAGTCGAAAAAACAAGTATAGACAGAGTAGGAATAAAAGAGGGTGAATAATGACGTAGTAAATAATAATAATAATAATAATAATAATAATAATACTAATAACAATTATAGTGATGGTAATAATTTGAATCATTTGATTGTTATTCGAAGCGAGAAAACTAGTTTCCATAGATGTGGAGAATTCATCATTTTTGTGTTGGCTGTGATACTGTCCGGGTGCCCAGATCGAAGCAGGTGGTTTTCTTGAGGAGCCCCACTCCAAGCATTTGACCTAAAATTCTAAACCACAAAGCAGTGCAGCATCGTAAGGAGATGCAGTCCCATGGTAGCCCGTGACCGAAAATTGGTTCATATCCCATTTGTTCCCGCAGGATACTGGGGCCCATGTGCACCATTGATTTGGTTTGTCATCCGGTTAAAGCGCCGGACATTCGCTTTTCGTAAACAACACCCCCCTCCACAAGAAGGCAGTGAGTAGGAATTCCCTGGCACAGGCTGTATACGCGTGGCCGTGTGAGAGTATATCACGAGGGAGGGCGAACCCACCCCGCTCTCGGCCATACCAGGGCATCCGAGGGCCAACTCTCTATATTTATGGAAACTACTTTTCTTGCTTCGACTAACAATCAAATGATTAAAATTGTTATTATTATTATTGGGTGGGGCCCCCTAAGAAAACCACCTGCTTCGATCTGGGCACCCGGACAGTATCACAGCCAACACAAAAATGATGAATCCTCCACATCTATGGAAACTAGTTTTCTCGCTTCGAATAACAATCAAATGATTCAAATTATTACCATCACTATAATTGTTATTAGTATTATTATTATTATTATTATTATTATTATTATTATTATTTACTACGTCATTATTCACCCTCTTTTATTCCTACTC